CCACTCATTTTATGCCAATGTAGTCTTCTAGATTTACACCATACAGTGTGATTTGTCCTTGCTCTGAACAGTGCTGGTAAATTACTGATGACTGTCCTGTCTCCTCTCAGGCTTGGTTTTGTTTTGCTAAGTAAGCCAAGCATTTAAATTTCTTATTTAGTAAGTTGTTAATTCATAGAATTATGGAATGGTTAAAGATGGAAAAGACCTGTAAGATCATCAAATTCAACCATTAACCCAGCACTGCTGTGATGACCACTAATCCATGTCCCCAGGTGCCACATCCACCTGCCTTTTGAGCATTCCCAGGGATGGTGATCCCACCAATTGCCTGAGCAATCTGTTCCAATGCCTGTCAACCTTTTCAGTGAAGAAACTCTTCCTAATGTCCAGCCTAAACCTCCCCTGGCTCAGCTTGAGGCCATGTCCTCTTGTCCTGTCCTTGTTCCCTGGGAGCAGAGCCCAATCCCCACCTGGCTGTCCCCTCCTATCAGGGAGTTGTGCAGAGCCAGAATATCCCCCCTGAGCCTCCTTTTCTCCAGGCTGAGCCCCTTTCCCAGCTCCCTCAGCTGCTCCTCCTCAGACCTGTGCTCCAGCCCCTTCCCCAGCTCTGTTGTCTTTATCTGGACTCATTCCAGCACCTCCCTGTAACCTTTTTCTGGATGTATTCCCATTAATCTGCTTAGGATACAGGCAGCAAACTCTGCATTTTTAATGAGCTGCTCTAGTGCTCCATACAATGCTGTTAATACTATCCTTGCTTTACTGGAAATACTTTTCCAAATGTACCCAGCATCTTGTTTATCTCCCTATGGCTGCATTTCAGTGATCTGTCACCATGTGACTTGCAGGGTCTTGGTCCCAGATGAGCTCCCATTTAGTGCTAGAAATAGTTTTGATTCAAGGAGGGCATAGGTTTGCCCTTGTCCTCAGAGGCTTTTAGCTCCTGTCTGTCACTCCAGTGCTCATTTCTTCCTTGCATGCTGCTCTGTTTGTTCTCAGCATTGGCTGTCCTAAATGATAACCATCAAGCTGGAGTAATCAGCAGCTTTAATTAGTATGGTCCTACTTTGTGCTAATTTCATTAATTTAGAAAACAAACAGAAAATAACTTTGGAAACTGCTAGAGGCACTGAGTGATGGGAGCTGACAGAAGGTGACAGGAAAGAACTGGGGAAAGGTGCCCAGTGTTGGGCAAAGGAATAATGAGGTGAAGAGAGGGCACGAGGCCTGGCAGGGAGAAGTGGGAACTTGGGGAAGTGAAGGTTGCTCACATCTTACAGAGCATTAATTTGGCCTCATTGAGACATACTTGGGATGGATGAAGACACTCCAAAATACCAGAAATAAATGTGTAACTCATGACTTTCTACATTTTGACTTTTTAAGAATAGCAACACTGCTGCTTAACTTTGGATGTTTCCTTTTTTTCCCCACAAGTTTCAAAGTGCTCTGAAAGTTCAAAGACTTACTTTCTAAAAGCATTTAAAAGTACTGAATCCTAAAAGCACTTTAAAAGTTTCGAATTGAGAGGATTATGAGTCTTGAATAATTTATCCACAAAACTTGAAAGGGAAAGAATTTGCTTAGGTCTTTATAATGTATATGATAAATTTTCTTACAGATTGGAATGACTCTGAAAGACTTTTATCCAGATAAGTGCATTCAGCAAATATTAGAAGTCACAGGCAATAGCAATTAAGGCACAAGGCTTTTCCTGGGAATTGATATCAAGCTCAGAGGAATGGGGATGGCTCAAAATGCAGCTGAGGGCCATTAACTTCACTTGATGATTAATGACCTCTGCTGAGGTCATTATTATTATCAGCTGAAAACGTAAAAAAATCCAGATGTATGAATCTTTTTAATGGGAGTTGCAGTTTCAGTCAGTGCAGTGGAAGTGCCCCCACTGTGGATAGACTGCCCTTTAATAATATCAAATGCAGGGCTTGATTTCCCTCCTCCCCACAGCGTTTTCAGGAGCGTTAATCAAGGCTGGGTCTCTAAAGCTGTGCCAGTATAAAATTGAAAAGCAAGCAGAATAAAGTCCATAGTGCTTTAAAGTTCTCCCAGAGTGGCAACAGCATCCAGGACTTAATCAGCTTTTTTGCAGTTCTCCATTTATCCCTTTCAGTGCCTAATCAGAGTGAGTCTCAGTGTAGCCCAGGAATGTTCCCAGCACATTCCTTGTGCTCACTGTTCTTGGACCCATGTTTAAATTGTGTCTGCCCTAATGTTGTGGTAGGTCCCTCACCAAGATCTGGGCTCTGGCTTGTGTTACAGAGGGGGCAGGCATACAGCCCTGATTGCTGAATACAGACTCTTTTTTAATAAACAGTCAGTAGGAATAGATACTTCCCAGTGCCCACACAAGTCCATGCATGGTTCCTTCCACTCTTGGTGAAACTTTTTTTTTAATATGATGAATTTTATTGCTGACTTGTAGAAAAATTGAGAGCTACTACTGGAAAATGTTCACCTTGCTGCTAATTTTTGACTTATGAGACTTCTGTTATAATGTCTTGATATTCTATACATACATACATACATACATACATATATAAAAATATCTTTCTATCTCTCACAGAATCACAGAGTAGTTTAGGCTAAAGACCTTTAGGATTAACTGTTAAATCAGCACTTCCAAGTCCCTCACTAATATGTATTTGAATTTCTTTATTTCATTTTAAAAATGTACTGAAGAGGTCTGAAGTAGGTAATAAAGCCAACATGAAGACATAAGCTTTAATTGGCCATGTTTCTGAATGCTGTGTGAGTCCTGCTTTACACAGACACCGGGCCCCTGTCCCTTTCTCTCCCTTCCCCCAGCCCTTTTTCCCTGGTCATTGTGAAGGTTGTAGCATCAAAATTCCAATCAGGACAGGACTGAGATGACTGCTGCTTTTGGCTGACCTTTATACAAATGCCACTGGATGTAGGCTTCTGCTCAGGAAAATGGAATTTTCAAAAATATAAGCAAAGCAGATGAAAAGCATAACTGAGGTGTAACAATTTGGGCATTGGGTGGTAAGACTAGACCTGCTTGTACAAACCCCTGCACTTCAGCTGTTTTGGGGATTGCTGCATGCCTTTAGTCAGCCTCTGCCAAAACACAGAGCTCTCACCTCCCTTTTTTTCTTTCTCTTTTTTCATTCCTCCAAAGTATCTCCTGCAGTGAAAGGAAGAGGTGAGTGAGGTCAGGCAGAATGAAATGAAAATCATGAAAGCTTAATAGACCATGGGGAGGTTCCTTTGAAAGGGTGCCAGGATGGAATATCAGTTGTGGGGAGGAAGACCACAGAGCTGGCAGTGAATGAAAGGAGATCGGGCACATGCGCTGTGGTGTCACAGCCCTGGCTGTGGAACTGGGCTGCTCCCCTGTTAACTCCTTAATAAATGTCCCACTCTGACAGTAGTGACTCCCACAGTGCTGTTAGTGCTCCCTGATGCAGCTGCACTGTGCTTCTGGATGAATTTTTGTGAGTTCTGAATTCTTTGTTTTGCTGGTAAGCTCAATAGATGAGAACTGAAGTATTGATGAGATTACACAAATTGCATTTTCTTTGTCTTCTGTAGTCTGTACCAGTTATCTACTGTAAGGGAAAAGAAATTGTTTTTCTGGATGAGAAGCAAAGAAGTCTTTTAAAACATGTAAGAATGTGAGGACTTGCAGAGATAGCAAGAAAACAGAATCCTGAAATGGTTTGAATTGTAAAGAACCTGAAAGATAATCTCATTCCAATTCCCCTCTATGGGGAGGGACACCTTCCACTAGACCAGCTCGCTCAAAGCCCCATCCAACCTTGCCTTGAACATTTGAGGCATCCACATCAGGTTATTGTCAACATATATTAGGTTATTGTAATTATACAAACCCTGACATAACAGCCCTTGGTGTATATGAAATGGTGTGGCAAATCATCTTACCAGTGATTTTTTTTTTTCAGAATAAAGCACTCCTAAAAGCAGGGGCTTTGGTCTGGCTGATTCTCCATCTTACAAATCTTCAAGTCTTGATTGCAGTAGCTAATATGCTCAGATTTGATGTGTGACTCACTGGATAGCAGTCTGAAATGCGAGTAAACGTGAAGGCTGGACTAAATAATAACTGCCCCCTTTCAGCTTTGGCATTTTATGAATCTATGCTTGTGTGAATGAAAAGACCTGTGCAAGTGTCAGAATTGATTTAAGGACTTTGGGTTTATTTGATGATGTGGAACTTAGTCCTCTGTGTGCTCACACCTTGCAGAGAAATCACGGAGTCTGAGCTTCCAAGGCTGCCAAAGTGCCTTGAATTTCTGTTCATCTCCAAGTCCATGGGGGTGCTGAACTTCAGACCTTCCTTTTACAATGCTAAAATATCCCTATTTTTGTTGTGAGCTTATGAAACTATTTCTACAGCTAAACATTTTGAAGCCTGAAGTTTCTCTTTCAGACAGATCACTGTTTTCAGTTGCCCAATTTGTTACCAGATGCTGCAGGACCTCTCAAAGAACAAGTGTGTATTCTCTTAAGTATCTAAATGACAAAACATCCAGAAAAACATGTCATGCGATACACAATGACCCTGCAGTGCTGATGTGGATGTAAGCCTCAGCTGCAGCCTTTGTCTGCTGACTCCACTGTAATTCAGCACAATGGTTGCTTCTGTGCAGATGAGCCCGCTGCTGTCTGGTGTTTTCAGTCATGTGCCCTTTCAGCTTCATTTCATGTCACTGTTACAGGTTTGCTCAGCTTTTAAGAGAAGTTCAATAGCTGCTGGGTTCTCCATTTGAAGGCCTCTTCCCCTTAACCCTTTGCAGAGTTCAGCACTACCAGACCACTGCTTTCCTTAATTTCTTTCCACAGAGCCTTTATTTGTCTATGGACACCTGTCCCCAAATGCCACAGGCTGAAACCTCCTCCTAAAACAACTGTCGAGTTTCAGATTGTTGTTTGACTCAGACTGATGTGACAGAGCACAAAGTGAATCTTCAGCATTATTTCTTTTTGCTTTGCAGGAGAAATTTGAAGGTTTGTTCCGTGCCTATGATGACTGCGTGACATTCCAGCTGTTCAAAAGCTTCAGGCGTGTGCGGATAAATTTCAGCAGTCCCAAATCAGCTGCTCGTGCCAGAATAGAGCTGCATGAAACACAGTTCAGAGGGAAGAAGTTAAAGTTGTATTTTGCACAGGTAATGAAATCTGGAATCTGTTTCTGTGTTACTGCACAATATTTCTTTAAAAGCTATGCAGTTACACTGAATAAAAGTAATAAAGGTTTCTCCCATGCCCAATCTCTCTGATGGAAGATTGCTTAAACCTGCTTGTGTTGACTGAGCTTTTCTGCCCTGAGGGTCTGCAGTAAATTTAAAGGACCACTTAGGACTAAAGTTGCTCATTCAACACACAGAATTATGTATCTCAGAGGTGATTTACAACACTGGGTGTTGTCTGTGGGTAACTCTCTTAACTAACCACAAGAAAGTGCTAATGTAAAGAATCCAAGTGAATAAAAAAGGTGGGGCTGGATTACATATTTGGCTGCCACCCTGAGCCACAGTCAGGCTTCCTCCTGCCTTTTTGGCTTTTCCTTACTGAATACATGAATTACAAATACTGAATTCTCTAAAAGGAATTTATTGAGTCCAAATCAAAGGAAGAAGGTAGGGGAAGAAAAACACTCCCTGCCTGGGCTGTAGGTGATTATATCCATCTATTGGAACTGTCAGGTGGGTGTTCAGTTCTCCTTGGCCAAGGGAGAAAGAACATAGATCTCCCACAGCAGGCTGGGCCCCAGCTAGGATAGAGAAAGTTGAAGGAGGTTGAGAACCCAACCACCACCTCTTCTGAATGCAGTTTAATAAATTGATGTGGTCACTGTGGCTTGTGAGATAACCACTGATGTTTATAAGTAATGTAGGTGTGCTTTGAGCTGCCAGTTTGGCCCTTCAGAGGTCTGAGGATAAGGGCTGGCTCACTTCAAGGTATCAAACAAACACACAGTGTTAAATTATGAGCCTCTTCCTCCTGGTCAGAATAGGAGCTGATTTGAGCCTAGGCAGGAGCAGAACCACAGGAAGATGGGAAGCTACAGCTGTGAAAAAAAACAATGTGCTTAATGAATTAGATGAGCTCAGAAGATTTTACAGCTGGATTTAGTTGTTAAGAATCTGCCTCAATCCTATTTTCTATGCCCTGATCTCCTAAATCTAGCTCTGAATTTTCTGAAAGGTTTCAAAACCTGCAGTTTTTTTAGGCAGAACTGAGAATGGTTTCATTCTAATTGTCCATTCAGGAGGCTAATTGAAAACTTGAGATAACAACAAAAAGAAAAATGTGCACAACAGTGATTAGTCTCGCTATCTAAGCTGATTTCCTGCAGAGCCATTCTGATACCTGCACTATGCTCTCCAACTGAGTCTTACAAGAGCTTATTAGTCGTGTTCAGGGAGTGAAGATGTGGCAGCAGCAGTGTCTGGAGCAGTGTCTGGCCTCAGCCACTTCCAGACCTACAAGTTCTGGGGAACATGGAGCTGAGAGATTCAGACTGGTTCTTTGCAAACCCCATGTTTGCTGTCCTGGAAATAGAGTTTATTGTGCTTGAGCTGGTTGTAACCTTGCTTAGGTATGGCTGCACTACAATTAATTTATATCAAGGCTTCTTTAACATACTAGAAAAGAGCAGGAATTGAAGTAGATAATTTGATATGGATATAATATAAGGGCACTCAGTTGCAAATGACTAAGGAACATCATAGATTCCTTTTTCACTTCAACTAAAGAAATAAAATCTGTGGAAACCTTTCTGAAGTTACTTACAAGGCCAGGCATTACTTGTGTGATGTCACATTTCATTTAGGCATTTAGACCAGATCACAACAGTGCCTTTACAGCCTCAAAAATCTCTGAGCTAGCAGCTGGGGCTACCAAAGCTTTGCATTTATCCTGAAAGAATTTACACAAGAGGCACAGACATTGTAGCTTTGCTGATGTCACAGCCCCACACTGTGCACTTACTGCAGAGGCACCATCTGTAAGGCTGAGATGAAATTCAGCTCCAGGCCTTCTCTTCTGAGACTGGTGCTGAAACCCTGCCTGGGTGGCATTTGGAGTGAGAAGGGTATGATTTGAGCACTCATTCCATTTAGCCTTCCCGTGGAGGTGAGAAGCTGGACAATGTGCCCTGGCACCCCAAATATCCTGGGCTGCATCATCCACAGTGTGACCAGCAGGCTGAGGGACGTGACTCTGATCTGGTGAGATCCCACCTGGGGTCCTGTGTCCAGCACTGGGGTCCCAGATGCAGGAAAGACATGGACCTGTTGGAATCAGGCCAGAGGAAGCCACAAAGATGCTCAGAGGGCAGGAGCCCTATGCTGTGGAGACAGGCTGAGAACTGAGGGTATTCAGCCTGGAGAAGAGAAGGCTCCAGGGAAACCTCACTGTGGCTTTTCAGTACTTACAAGAAAGGTGGGAATGGACCTTTTAGCAGGGCCTGTTGCAGTAGGGCAAGGGGAAAATAGTTTAAACTAAAAGAAGGTTGTTTTAGGCTGGATGCAAGGAACAAACCTTTTACAGTAGGAGTGGTGAAACACTGGCACAGGTTGCCCTGAGGAGTTCTGGATGCCTTATCCATAGAAATATTCAAGGCCAGGCTGGATGGGGCTCTGAGCAAGGCAGGAGGGTTGGAGGAGATGACCTTTAAAGGTCCTTTCCAACCCAAACCGTTGTGTGATTCTTTCCTGTACTAAAACGTGTCTTTGTTGTGCTTTAAAGATTCAGACCTCTGAGACAGATGGAGACAAGCTTCATTTGGCACCACCACAGCCTGCAAAACAGTTTCTCATCTCGCCTCCAGCCTCCCCACCTGTAGGGTGGCAACCAATAGATGATGCAACACCTGTCATCAACTACGACCTCCTTTATGCAGTTTCTAAGCTTGGACCAGGTAAGCTTGTGGTCCTTGGGTGAAAACGTGGCAGGAAAAGCAGACAAGAAATTCCAGTGTAGATAACTGTACAGGGGGTTGGCATAGAGCTGGAAGTTGCATTAAAATTTGGATTTCAGTTGATGGATGTCACCTGGCTCTTTCCTTCAGAATGAGTTTTGCCATGTGTAGGCACAGAATTGTGTGTTATCTGCAGCTTGTGAGAGCTGATCAAAGCTTTGCTTACACCATTTATTGTGCTGGAGTTTGTGCCTAGATGACACAGCTGATGGTTTAGGTGGGGACTGGACAAATGTTTGGCTGTGGATGTGAGGAGTTTTTGCTGTACACAGCATCTGCTCAGTTCTGCATTCCAAGGTGCAGATTTCTCACTTGAAAAAGTGCACATTCACTGGAGTGGAGAATCTCTCACATTGTTCATTGAGAGAGAACTACTGTTCCCCAGTCCCGGTGGGATTGCTCTATTAGGAATGCTCATTTCCTGCTGAAAACCATGCAGGAGGAATGGGATAAGTTGTAGGCTCCCTTAGCACAAGATAAATGTCAATGGATAATGCATCCAGGCTTTCTTCTGTCTTCCCATCTTCAGCTAACGCCAGGAGTTGAAGCTAGCTGGGATTTTCAAGCAATGCTTTCCGTGGAAAATGCATATCTAATAAAACCAAAACTTTATATAGGAAAGGGTTACTTTTGATTTAATTAAGTCATCTTTACAAATAGTTTCCTCTCAAAGCTGTTAAAGCATCCTGGTTTAGAATTTTCAAAATGAGAAAGGTTCCAGTTTCAGGTCCAAGCAGTATCATTTACAAATTAATCTAATTTGCATTCATAAGCCACAAGGAAAAAATAGCCTATTAAATTATCTTCATACCGAAATAAAATATTTCATATCCAATCTAATAACAATTGTGGGGGTGAGCTCATGAAAATTTAGCAGTTTATTTTTGAAATTCTTGTGGGATGAGAGAATTGTTTTCTCCCCAGCTGTACTGGGAATGCTGCTTGCTCGCTCTGAGAGCAGCTTCCAATTGCAGACATCTCATCATTGGGGCTTTTGTGCAACTGCACCAAAGGAACTCAGAGCTGGAGTACATGGGGAGCAGAAGGATGTTTCATGATTCACAAGGTTTGCAGGATTATCTCCTATCTTTTTCAGATGGGATCTCTCACAAGAGGAAAATATACATCAGGAGATTCCTATGGTTTGTAGGCAGTAGAAGAAGGCAGTCAGGAGTAAGACTTCATACAATATCGCATATTATTATTTCCAGGAGTGATACTTTGCTTCTAAAATGCTGAATAAAAGAAAAACCAAAAACCTCCTTTTTTTTTTTCCCCTTTGATGCAGCAGTGTTATAAATGGAAACATGTAAACGAATTCCCGAGCTAGCTGGGTAATAAATCAATTCCTGTTCTGGAGCAGTGGAATGTGAAATATCACTCATTGTCCCACGCTCTGGGACAGCTTTGCGTGAAGGTCAAATTCACCCGGATTTAAGGAGCCTGCAGGGAGCAATATGAAAAGCCATTGTGTGCTCTCTTCTTTCTATTTTTAGCACTTGTTAGAGGGATCAATTTTAGTTAACTGCAGCGGCGGGTTTAAAATAGTGTTGCTGTTCTCAGTTGTGCATTTACTATGTTTAGAATTTCATTGAAAAACAAATCCCACTAACACTCATTTCTCAGTATTGCAGCACTAAAACACTGCTGGACATCAAACAGCATTGGTAGCCTCAGAGAAGAGATTTTTTTTCCTTCAAAAACACAATTTAAAAATGTAACTACGGTTTATCAGCTGTCGAAAAATACTCACTGGGCAGAGTTGTTTACAGAGCTGAGAGTGTAGAATCTGACTTCCATGTCTTTAACTTGTGAGGAATCTTTGCTGTATTAAATGCAGTGATTTGGTATAATAAACATCTGAGGACCAGGAAAACTCCTTAGTGCTTCTAAATAGTGAACAGTGTCTTTGTATGCCCTCAGCATAAAATGAGTTTTATTGTCCTACTTCACTAGAAATGCAAGATGTACCACCTGGACACAGCCCCATGCTCCTTTCCCATTCCCTGAATCCAGGTCACCTCCTGCCATAGTATGGTGCCATAATCATCATAGCCATAAAATTAGACACCAAAACTGTCCCAGGTTGCAAAATGTTGGGAGATCTGCTCCAGAGTGTAAGGAGTATGCTGGAAGTGAGTTAACAGATTTGCTGTGTGCCAGCAGTTTTGGACAGGTGTTTTAGCTGCAGCAGTGACAGGCTGGCATCTTGGGGATCTGATGGAACAGATTTCTTTCTGTGCTCAAAAGGAAGCTGGTTTTGACCCCTTCACATGGAATTGAGATTGGTGAGGGTGCATTTACTCCTTAGGGAAGGTCGTGGCATATTTAATTAAGTTCCTGGATGATTGATGTATATTCTCACTTTCTACAGATGCAGAAATTAGTCTTTAAATGAGGCATGAACAGAGTGCTGTAGATCAGTCAGAGCCAGGAACCATGACTGTGCCTGGTACTGACCACCAGCCTACAATCTTTTCAATATATTACAAATAAAGGAGTGCAATTGTTAATCAGTTTGATGGAAAACACTTCCACTGTCAAGACAACTTCCAGTAGTTTGATATGTTGATGAATATGTGCAGACATCAGGGGCTGGACTACAGAACAGCCTGGCAGGTTGCAAGCATTCCTGTAGGAAAAAGCTAGCTCCAGGTTAGGCCAGGTGAGGATACAACCTGGACCTGACAGGCAAACAATCAAACAACCACCCCACATATTTTATGTGAGAAACCTTTGCAAAGTGGAGGGAGAGGGAGTCTCCAGGTCCAGCCTGTGTCTACAGCAGAGCTGCTCCTCTCAAAGGACAGGCAGCTGTTTGCCATTTATTAGTGCAGTGATTTGCTAACTATCCTCTTGGCACTAGAATATGCTCTTTCTTTTCTGGAAAGCAGTCCCTCCCTCTCCCTGTCCACTCCCCAGCCTGCCTGTATCTGCTCTCCTTCCCCCACTGCCTCATTCTTCACAACAGATTGCCCTGTATCCCCTCATTTCTAACTCTGCACTCCAGAGTGCCTTTCCCCAGGATCCCAGGTGCCACCCTGACTTCCCCTTGCCAAGTCCTGGATTTGGCTCACCCTTCCCTAGGGAAGGGGAAAACAGATGAGAGCAGGACCCTGCCCAGGAAATGCCATACAGAGGGATTTCAAACCATCTCACAAGGCAGATTTTCTGTGCCCAAGTGTTTTCAAACTCTTGTGTTTGTCATCACTGTGTCAAAGGAGATACTAAATACTTCAGATGACTCCCAGGGAGGATTAAAAGGGGATGGAGGGGCAAACAAATGGTGATAGATAAAATTTTTCATCTCTGTCTTCCTCTCCCTGCTGTTCTGTGGGTACTTTTGCCCTTCCCTTCTCTTACCAGGGGCATAGTACAGGAGAGCTGTACTCTGCCCCTGGTAAGAGAAAACTTTCCCTCTGGTTGGAAGAGGAGGGTGCCCAGCTCCTACAACATCAGTAATGGGCTTCCAGGGAACAGTTCCTCCACTTTGCTATGGCAGATTCATGCTTAGAGGTGTTTTATGGAGGTGTTTTGTGGGATGGCCTGTAGCTCTTCTGTCACAAACATGCACCCATACAAAGGACCTCCTGTTATTTGCATCCTGTTATTTGTAAAGCACTTGGATGAAGGGACTGTAAGTGGAAGGTATTTTCATGATGCTAATGCCACATTTACATGAAATGGGCAGCTGTGAACTCATTAACCTTTGCTCATGAGTCTGAATTGGGGATGAAGTAGCTACACATTATCATTAGCATTTTTACATTATTCTTTATGTATATGAGCGTGGTCTGTGCTGGACAAAAGGGCCCTGTTAGACAGGAACTGCATCATCAAGGAAAGGTCACAGTATTGACTCACAGAGGGATAGAAACTCCTATACCATTTTTTTTAATTCTGAAATATCATAAGTTGCTTCTGTGCTCATCTGTCTTGCATCACCCAAGGCTGTGGGTTTACTCCTGGCTCATGAGGTCACAGAAAGTAGGGCCCAGTGACATAAAAGCAGCTGTTCTCATTGTTAAGGGAGAAAACTTCAAATTCTTACTGTTTTTCTTATGCAAAGCAAATGGTTAGAGAGGAACATCACTGCTGTTTTCAGGGGCTTATCAGTAAGTTTTACTGACAAATCAATATAGTGGATGTGCCACAGCTGAATTCTTCCTGAAGGGCAGAGTGTATTTGATAAATTTTATGATAATTTTTTTAGTAAATTTATGTGAGTCGCCACTGTTAGCTTATGTAAAGGTTTTAATTTATTATTACAAGATAGAGATAGGCCAAAGACAGCTGGAGGAGAAAGACCCCTGTCCCCAAGAATCCTTTGGCTTAGCTAGCCTGTAAGAATTCTCCAGCCAAGCAGGAGAAGCAGGAGCCTGGATCAGTGTAGGGCCTGGGAACACAGAGAAGGCCATGGCAGAGACAGCTGAATGAGGTCACTGGACACATGCTTGGGTGGCAGTACAGAAATAGGTGAATCTTACCTATGTTAATTCAACTTGGTACTCATAGCTTGGGAGAACCTAGGTCTTGTCACTCCAGTGACTCAACCATTGCTTCAGTAGCTCAACTGCTGCAGGCTTAGCTCATTAATTTTTATTTTTTTTATGCTGCAAATGGTGTTTAAGAGAAAAGAAAAAAAAAAGAAACAGGGAAGCAGTGGAAGGGAAGGGCTAATCTGGCTGTACCTATTGGATTATTTTGTTCTTATCACCTTAGTGTTTTTCTGCAAACAGTGGAACTTTGGAACAAGATATGGCTGTACAAAAGTCCCAGAGTTATTGCTGTCCTGTTCCTAACTCAGCCATGAAAAGGTTTTGTGCTGTTTGCTTACAGAACAGAGTCTGCAGCTCATTTATGCTCAGATATAACTTTATGCCTTAAAAACCTAATTTATGAGTGCATCACATTTTGGTTTGCAAAGTGACATTAATTGCTGCTGCAGTTCCTTGTGCCAGAGGCATCTGAATATTTTTCCTTGCGTCTGTACTTTTTTCACTGTTCTTTTTCAGCAGAAAGAGTGAGTCCTTCTGGGAGGGATTTGAGCAGTAAAAGAATGTGGCATTTGAAGTGGCATTATTACCTTTTAGGAGGGCAGTGGGTGTGATTTGCTGGGTGGCGCTGCTGTAGGAGGAGGGCACTGCGGAGGGAGCTGTCCGCGGTGACAGTGACCAACACAGCCCTCGGTGACAGTGACCAACGCTGCCCTCGGTGACAGTGACCAACGCAGCCCTCGGTGACAGTGACCAACGCTGCCCTCGGTGACAGTGACCAATGCTGCCTGCGGTGACAGTGACCAACGCAGCCCTCGGTGACAGTGACCAATGCAGCCCTCGGTGACAGTGACCAACACAGCCCTTGGTGGCAGTGACCAACACAACCCTTGGTGACAGTGACCAACGCTGTCCACAGTGACAGTGACCAACGCAGCCCTCGGTGACAGTGACCAACGCAGCCCTCGGTGACAGTGACCAACACAGTCCTTGGTGACAGTGACCAACGCAGCCCTTGGTGACAGTGACCAACGCTGCCCGTGGTGACAGTGACCAATGCAGCCCGCAGTGACAGTGACCAACGCAGCCCTTGGTGACAGTGACCAACACAGCCCTTGGTAGCAGTGACCAACACAACCCTTGGTGACAGTGACCAACGCAGCCCTTGGTGACAGTGACCAATGCAGCCCTTGGTGACAGTGACCAACGCTGCCCGTGGTGACAGTGACCAATGCAGCCCTTGGTGACAGTGACCAACGCTGCCCGCAGTGACAGTGACCAATGCTGCCTGCGGTGACAGTGACCAACGCAGCCCTTGGTGACAGTGACCAACGCTGCCCTGGTGCTGCCTGGCAGCATTGACGTCAGCCCAGAGCTGAGAAATTAGCTGAGGCCCGCAGGGAAAATGGGCAAAGAAAAACCATATAATTCCTCAATGCAGCACAACCAAGCTATTTCTCTTTTTATATTTTAGCCTATCAGCAAGACCTGTAATGCTTTGCTCGATTTGGATTCAGAGGAAAGGTTGCCAAAAATAGAGCAGTTAAATGTCAACATTAATGGTATCACAGCAGTAAAATATTTCTCACAGCAAGATGCCTGGCTTATAGCTATTATTCACTAGTTGCCTTCTTGTTTTTAGGCAAAAATACAGTGTGTCCTCTAGTCTCAAGCCACCCAAGCTTATTTGGACCAGGAATTTGTCAGCACAAACAGCATGTGAGCACAGTCCCAGAACTGTATGTGCTAATGCAGAGCCAAACGTAAAACCCCTTCTTCACATGAATTACTCAGCCACAAAGTGGCAGACAAATAAAACTCCAAATTAGTGCCACAAGCAAGCCATAAGTGCTTTGAGGCAGGAACTGCTGTTTGCTTCCATGGTACAACATGTGGCACTGCTGGCTTCTGCCAGTGGTGCAGCATTTAGGAGCCACTCTGCCACAAACAGAGGCCAGCTGGGTTTGCTGGGGCCTCACCTCCCTCATCTCTGAAGATTTTGCAGGCAAAGTTGGTTTTTTTTAAATTCTTAAATTCATTTATAGCAATTTAATTACCAGTGCCTACTTGTATCCCATGTAAAATCCAGAATACATGTAGTGCCAGCAGGCTGAATTCAGGACTCAAAGCCCTATGTCTTTTCCTTTGTTTGCCTGTGGACTTTTGTAGGTAACCACCCAAGCCCATATGGGTCTCTTAGTAGTTGGACTCCATGATCCTTGTGGGTCCCTTCCAATTCAGAGTATTTTCTGTGGAAAAAAAAAAAAAGCCATGTTCATCTTCCTCAGAGGAGTACTGTGTTGAGACTTAAATAAGGAATGTAGATAGTTAGAAAATTTATGTACTGTTTAGGCATTCAGCCTTCTCTAGTGAGCATTTATAGACTGCTCTGTAATCTCATCTGTAGAGACAAAATTTGTTACAGCCCCAGCTAAAGAGCTTTGAAACTCAAAATCTGTCTGCAGCAGAGATATGGGAGAATTTATTTCTGGAGAAATTAGATTAAGTGTTGAAATCTGTCTAAGAGCAACAACTGGGCTTTAAATGGGACTGAAGAAAAGCAACAGCAAAAATAAAGAATAACCCCAACCTAACAGGTGTGAAATAACTTCAGACCACAGGTTGGATAGGTTGGGTTCCAGTTCATTTTTTAACCATGAAATTTTGTTTTCTTTCTCCTTCCTCTGCCTACTTTGGGGGTTTATTTCAGTGCCATTGGCCACCAATATTAGTACCAAAACCCATTACAGACACGAGGATGTGTGTATTTTATGATGCCTTACAGACCTGGGATCAAACTGCCTCCAGGGGCAGGATCCCCAGGATGTGTTGTGGCAGCTGACAGAGTCCAGCCGTGCTGGTGCTCACCTGTATTTAGAGCAGCACACACTCAGCTCCCTACGCGGGTGTGGAGTGTTCTGCAGTGCAGGAGTGCCACGGGCTGTGTTGCTACTCAGATTGCCATCGTTTGATGTGTTGCTTTTCTCTGCTTCCAGGAGAGAAATACGAGCTGCACGCAGGAACAGAGTCCACTCCCAGTGTGGTAGTGCACGTTTGTGACAGCGACATGGAAGAAGATGAGGACCCAAAGAATTCTCCAAAGCCAAAAATCATTCAAACTCGACGCCCTGGTGTGCCGCCGCCTGTATCTAACTGAGCCTCTCCGGCAGAAGCAGCACTTCTCTCTCCTCCAGCACAGCTCTTGGTTTTTGTTTGCTTTGTTCTGTTGAAAGGCAGCCTTTGCCTTCTGAGCACCGGGACATTAAGGTCATTGAAACCCCTTCACAATAATCAAGCCTCTGTAACAAAAGGGCTAGGAAAAAGATCTTTGTACCTGTAACCATATCACACACCAACTGATAGATCTAGCTGGAAAGGACAAAACAAGGCTGAGGAAACAAGGGTTGGTTTCAGTCTGAGGATCTTTTCACAGCTGTAATTTGCATACTGAAACACCACTACCAGAGATCGTTTGGGTGGGAATTAGGCCAATATCAGTCTTGATATTCAAACTCCCAGGATTGCTACTGCCCTTCATCCAGCAGCCTGCTCCTCTGCCCTCCTCACTTCCCAACAGTCTTTTTCCCTTTTCCCTTTTTTTTTAAGGGGGGTAGGTGAGTTGTTTTTACTCTACTAGCAGCTTGGTGGCCTTTGCACCCCCCTGGAATTTTCTGTAAGGAATACCATCTTTGCAACATTTTCAGAAACAACAGAAAACAACCCTCTTCCAGCAATAGCTGTAGAGAATGGTGGTCTGAAGTGGTGGCAGGGATGTGAGATGGAGCTCTCTGGGCTGAGGGGAGAGGCAGCAGCTGCTGGGGGGTCTGGTCAGTTCTTCTCTCTGGAGAGAAGGGAGCCAGAATATCAGTAGGGATTGTCAATTCATCTTCTACCAAGGGATGAGTGGTGCTTCTCTTCGGGTCTGAGGGAGAGGACGTGACTGACTGCTCATGTAAGATGGGATTCCTTACTCTCTGTCATAGCTGAATGTTCCAGTAACATTACAGGCTGAATGCTTTCCTAGTGGTGTGGTGAATAGCCCTGAAATTGTCAGTAATTACTTGCACATCTCTAATATTCAGCCCTTTTCTCTTCCCATGTCCTGTGCTTCAAAACCCTTTTTGAGCTGTATGCAGTTTGGGTTTGTGGAGGTGAGCAGAGGTTAGTTGATTTTTTTTTTCTTTTTTAGGCCAAAGAAAACAGGACCATAATTACACACTTGAAATTAGACTGCATGCAACTGAATCCCCTTTTTTCACCCCATCCTGCATGTTTCTTTCACTTGCAATATATACTGGGTTACAAAAACTGTTCTGTGTTTGCATCATGGCTGACAGCAGACAGGTCCCTGATTCCCTGTCTGGCAGACCTTCCATGATGATTTATTTTTTTAAGGCATACTTGTCATTTGGAGAACATATTTTTAGACATTTGAGCTCAGATTTTGCATATATTTAAGCATGCGCTTAATTTATGCACATGAGTAGTTCCACTGAAATTAATACTGCAGAAACTGAGTGTATGTGTAAGGTATGGTGGGATTTTTAAGCTAATTAGCTGCAGCTGTACTCCCCAAAGTGACTATAAAATGGCACAGCGAGCCTCCATGGTTTAAAATCCTTTACAGCTTAAAATAAGTAAGTACATCTTGGAAGCTTATTCTAGGATCTGAAAAGTCAGCTTAGGTTTTGTAATCAAGATTTTTGTCATAAAACCTAAAGATCTGGTTTCTGAGGGAGAGTTCCATCACACTCTTAATTAGCAGCAATGCTACAAAGCTTCAGCAGAGTCAGGTCCCCTTTGCAGGGTCTTGGCTTGGCAGCACTTCCAGGACAACAGGCGTGTTGCTCTGTCAGTGAGGACAGGAGATGGCATTCCCAGCCTGCAAGGTGAGGACATCTGGGAATGAGGACTTGTCATTCTCACATAGTTCAGCCTCTGACCACCACAGCCCCTCCTGGTATTTCTGATGAGATGCAGTTCTTTATTTCCATAATGTGATAATTGTTACTTCCTTATGGGCATTGTGGTGTGCTGTTACAGTGATGGAATACTGCCCATTAAATACAGCAGAGACTGAACAGAAAATGAGGCTTTAGTATCTTCTTGATATAAGTGTGAAGTTTTCTTAAAGTAACTCCTTAGAGGTGCCACGTCAATTATTTTCCCAGTGATCCATTTTAAATTGATTTAAGGAAACAAATTGTTAGTCACAGCCTAGGAATGTATCCTGTTGAAAACACCATTTTAGGCCACAAAGGATATTCCAGCAGTAACACCACTGGCTTTTTGAGAACACACCCAGCACTGATGTCCATAGGGTTTAGTTTAGCCCAGTAAGATGATCAGATATCATTGCTAATGGATTTTTTTACAGGCAAGACTGTAGGAGGCCAAGTCTTGTCCTTGTATCCATGTCCTCAAACTTTGGAGAGACATGGTTCTGAACTAAGTACTTTGGCCTCAAATGATGTAAAACTACACTGCAAATTAAAGCACTGGACCTTAAATGTTCTTTCCTCAAAGTGCATTTTCAAACAGATTTAAAACGAGGCCCCATTCAGTGAGTACTCCGTGCTTTGGAAAGCTGTGTGGTGCTACCCAGGAGGCAGCAGGACATGGCTCATTGCTTGGAGCATTGAAATAGAAACACAATTACAAACCTGAAAATTCAAAGCAGTCTCTATGGTCAAAGCTTATATATCACCTGTATGTGATAAACTAATGATCATTTTCCTAAAAAAAAAAAAGGAAGTGTTTCATGTATTATTGGAATAATATCCGTATTATCAAACTATAAGCATTTGTGACTCTTGAGAGAAGCTAGTGTTTTACTAAAGGCTGGTTCTTGCCTGACATGGAAAGAATGCTTCTTCCAAAAAATGCTGACTATCTGGAAGGGGAGTTGTCCTGTTCAGTAAATCACAGGCAGAGCCCCTACTAATCTGAGTGGGAATTTGCTTTTCTGAGGTCAGCCACTCTGATTTGCACTTCTCACAGGGTGTCAGGGGTTCTCTCCTGCTGGAGCCCTGGAAGAATGGAGCCTCAGTGTTACACTGTGGCTCCTGAGGCACGGTGGCACAGCCTACGTCCTTTTAATTTCCTCCCCGAAGCAGGAACTGGAGGGAGCAGCTGGAGGTGATGCCCTGGGGCCTCTGAAGGGTGGACATGGCTCCTGCTGTTCTTTGGAAATTAAAAGAAGAAAATCAGGGGAGTACAGCTGCTGCCTCTGTTGCCTGCTGCCTACTTGTCCTTTCTGACCTCTTCAGAAATGAAACTGACATTTTAATGACTTCCTCACTACAGTTTAAAGCATGAAAACATTTCCAGTGCATGGAGAAAGAGTGTTTTAGAATCTGCTCTTTTGGAACAAAACAAGTAATTTTTGTGGCCTTGATTTTTGTAATTAAGACAAGTGTGCAAACTCCCCCCTTCCTAACATACACAGACACACTCCAGTAAACTTTGTTTTCAGCCAAGAAAATATGGCAAGAGCATCCCTTCCTCAACCATAGTAAGACCACAGCCATAGCCACTGTAAAGTGTTTTAGGTTGTAAAAAATTCTCCCCATGCATAAATTTTGTAGCACTAATTTGATTCTAAATTGGGTGAGAAGGGTGGGTTGGTTTTATTTTGGTCTTTCCCCCTGCTCTGTCCCATTCAGCAACACTGTAAAAGCTTTCAGCAAAAATACAGACTGTTGTTTGTATTGAGGAATGGACTGAACTCCTGGAAGGATGCAATTCCAGTGGTTTGTCTGAGCACTGTCACAGATGCCATGAGCTTTTCCATTGTATTGTACATAACTTTTGAAATATTCTATTTAGTCATATTTTATAGGAGCATTAAAAAGCTACTGGCTAATTAATCACTTTTACACTTGTATAATTCAGAGCTTAGTTTAAAATAATAAATATGGCAAACGGTATTTTTGTGTTCTGCTTGCACTGATGTTTGGAAAAGCAACATTTAAAGAGTTAAACTATATCAATAAACTGAGTAGTGTGGTGTATACCCCTGCTAGAACTGAAAATGCTTAAACGTGTGACATAGGCCAAACTCTGTTTCAGTAGCAATTAAGGGGAAAGCAGCCTTCTTGTTGGCAGGCTATGCCATGTTCCATTTTAAGCTGCTGCAGTTTCACAGTCATGTGAACTTGCTCTGGCTTGCTGTGGATTTGGCTCAGTGTACACAAAAAAAGCTGCAGTGCAGTCCCTGGTGAGCAAAAGCCCAGCACGTCCCAGCTCCCTGATGTGGTTCTCACTGTGCTTTTATAATCATGGGTGATGCTGTGGCCATGAGTGCTTGGACAAGGAACATGGCATCCAGCTGCCAGCCAGGCTGGGGTAAGAGGTCTGTCAGCATTCATTATTATAAAAATTTTAACTAATTGTTGTCTCTTGCATCAGTTTGTTCTGGGTCTTGCAAAAGACTGGAAACTGGGAGATGGGTTTGCTGATAACTGTCCTGTGAAATTCTGATATTGAATTGCTCAAATCTGGATTTGAAAAAATGATTTGTTTTTCTGTGTGCCTGGCACACAGAAATCTTCATTTCTCAAAGGATGATTGTTCATCATTCTGAAAATTAGATCCACTTAAGAAGCCTCACTGGAGAAGTAAACTCTGAGCTCTTTAATTCCTTTGAAAAGGACAGGCCTTAACCTCTGTGTTTTAATCAGAAAAACAAGTAATAGTGAACTTCTTCTGGGGTTCTTACCACCTCTTTTAGAGGTGAAAGGCAGGAAGCCTGGTTTATTCTTCACTTTGAGCACCAGAAGAGCTTCCCCCACCACCATGAGTTTTTTCATCCACCCAACTGAAATGCTGTGTTTGTGACATGCTGGCTGTGGCTCCTCCACCATGCCTGGCACTGGACACAGCACTGGGAAATGAGATTCAGGGCTTCAGCTGGGGATGGCAGAGAGCTGTGTCCCAGAGGACCAGACTGATCACAGTCACAGCGCTTTCAGATCCTCTGAAAAATATTCACTGAATTTATTTTTGGTCCTTCTTTAGTGGCAAACACCTCAGCACTCAACTTTTGCAGTTTCAGGCTTTCTCTCCCATACTAGTGTGAACAAAATACTTTTGCATGTCCTTGATTCCCTTTTGCCTAAGAGATCACTTTTAATTCTGGTTTATCAAAAAACAAAACCAGCTATGGATTAAAGCCAGACCCTCATTTATGCTCAGCATCATGCAATGGTCTTGACTAGTGAGTTACACTAGCAAAAACCCCAAACATTGCTTTTCCTGGTTTAACCCATCTTCTGGGGGAGTACAGCACATTTCAATATTCCAGGCTCCTCTTAAAAAGAGATGTTTTTATAACAGTAGCTGTGCTCTTTTTTTTTGAATACATGTAGACTGCAGCATTCAGGGGTAAAAGGACAAGGGAGGAAGTGTTGTAAAAGCTCTTTCCCACAGGTCTATTTGAAGTGTGGAGTATATTTACTTTGGCTTGGAGGGGAGAGAAGCCAGCACTGTTAGAGGCAGAACAGCAGCAGCACTCTGGATGGAATGGCAGGAACCTTGGAAGTCGCTACTGCAGAGATGCTCAGAAAGCTTAAAAAAACCAGCCTGAATTGTCTCTCCCCTTCTGTCAGTTTGTTCAGTAACTACACAGATTCTGGGGCTGCAGCAAGAGTCATCTCAATATAGGATTGAGTCCTGATGCTGCAGCTACAAAGCTTAAATAGGGACATTTTTTAGGGAGGTTCTTGCTGGAGTAAGGCTGGGAAAGCTGTGAAGTGTGAGCAGCCATGAAGTTAATGAAAAATTAAGATCTTCAGAACCTTAAAACAGACTTCAGGATGCAGAGTCATGTACCTGAGAGCTATATTAAGAGCCCATTTGAATCTGGGGCTCACTCAGAACATTAAGAGAACCCAGCAAGAAAGATTAAACCTCTCTGTTGTTCTCACCAGAAAATCAGCCTTCTTTTAACAAATTATTGTAACTGATCATATATCTAGTGCGAGAAAGTTGTGTCTACATTAGTGTCACACAGATGTGTTCTCTTCACTGTTGGGTTAATGAAGGTAAATGTTTTGAATCCATTTTAGAGCAGAGTTCTTGTACAGAAACTTCTGACAGAAATGTCATCTGTAAGGACTGGTGGATCCTTAAGTGTCAGTTTGGCAAGTTGTCCTACTGTGGGTAGCTGCAGAAATATTTCGTGTATGTTGTTGTAGATTTAAAAGCATTGCTCATGGTTTCATTCGAGTGTCTGCATTTCTGACACGGATGTGACATATCTGTATATATTATAAATCAATACTATTTTTAACCACATATTTTGTACAAATATTCACATTAGCGCTGTACTTCAATGAAAATCTATTATGGTATTAAACATTTTGGTGGAATTAGCAAACTCCTTGTCCGTGCTTTGCTTTCATTTTATATCAGTGTTAAGCAGCTGAGCCATTTCTGGCATCCAAGGCAAATATTAAAATTTCCAGCTCTTCATGTTGTTCCTTAAATCCAGGTGCACCTGTACCCTCTAGTGACTGATCCCAGCCACTGCAGAGGCAGCTCCCAACACTTCTAGATCCCAGTGAGAGCCCCAAATCAAACCTGAACCAACAGTAAATATGAGCACAGTTTTTTCTAGCTAACGAGTAGCAACGTGGGACAGCACATTGCTGTTGAGGGACACCCAGCAAGAGATTTCAATACACACAGGTGCAGTTTTATAACAACTATTTCCTTTTTTCCATTTCTCCAAAGTTTCTGGTGGGGTTCACAGCCAGGAATCAGATGATGGATTTTGTCCTACAGGAGCAGAGCAGCAACATCCACACAGGTTCTACCAGGCACAGCAGCAATGTGATTCTCAGGGCTTGGACTAGCTCAGCCTCACACCTGTAACAGGACAGCAGTATTGAAGGACGGGGAAAAAAGACATTAAGAACACAATTAGAAGAGCCTTGTTCCCCAGTACAATCCCTGGTGGTATGGTGAAAGGGAGAAAGGTATCACGTATATGTTTATAGATATACATATAAAATAGAAAATTAGAAATATGAATATATACATAATTATTAATTTATTCAGTCAATAGGCAGTGCCTGTGTGCAACCTTGACAATTCTATGATTCTGTGTTCCCACGCACCAGTAAGAAGAGAGTTGTGTACACTGCCATGAATTGGGGTGGGGTTTGTGTACATACACAGGACATAGACTTTGGACTCATATGTAGCACAGATCCTCAACTAGGAAAGGTGGGAAACCTAGCTTGGATTTTTGTCCAGTTCAGCAGTTTAGATTCTAGTGAGATGGGGAAGGATAAATTCATTTTCATTCCAGGACATAGCTGTGGGTCTGGACAACAAAAGGTGGGGAAAAGCATCTTCTGGGAAGCAAATGGAAAATTTAGAGCTTCAGAACACAAGAGGAGAAAAAAGGCTGATAGAAAAACAGCAATTTTAAAATTATTATTATTTGTAACTGAAGAAGCACTTCCAGATATCCAGAGAATGAATTTTACTCCTTGTTTTCCAGTCAGCCGAGCCAGCCCTGCCCAAGCTCTATGACATGCAGCAACGCCCTTACAACTCTTGTGACATCCGTGCCAGGGCTGTACGGGGTCACCTCACCTGTGACCCGGGGTGCTGGGGACAGCGGCTGGACATGGCCCAGCTGTGCCCAGGTGGGCAAGAAGGCCAAAGGCACCTGGGCTGTAGCAGCCATGGTGTGGCAGCAGGGCCAGGGCAGTGACTGCCCCTGTGCTGGGCACTGCTGAGGTCACCTCGAGGGCTGTGCCCAGTTCTGGGCCCCTCAGTTCAGGACGGACATTGAGGGGCTGGAGCGTGTGCAGGGAAGGGAACAGAGCTGGGGAAGGCTCTGGAGCACAGGTCTGAGGAGGAGCAGCTGAGGGAGCTGGAAAGGGGCTCAGCCTGGAGAAAAGGAGGCTCGGGGGGACCTTCTGGCTCTGCACAATTCCTGACAGGAGGCGACAGCCAGGTGGGGGTCGGGCTCTGCTCCCAGGGAACAAGGACAGGACAGGAGGACACGGCCTCAAGCTGAATCAAGGGAGCTTTCGGCTGGACATTAGGAACAACGTCTTCACAGAAATGATTCGGCACTGGAACGGGCTGCCGAGGAAGGCCGTGGAGTCACCGTCCCTGGAGGCGTTCAAGGAAAGCCTGGACACGGCACTGAGGGCCGCGGTTCAGCTGACGCGGCGGTGCTCGGCCACACGCTGGATCTGCGTTCTCAGAGCTCTCTCCCGACCCAAAAGACGCCGTGACTCCGTAATTCCGTAACTAATTCCGTAATTCCGCGTCCCCCTCCCGCCGGGCCCGCCCCGCGCCGTTCCGCCCCGCACGCTCTGAGTGACGGCGCCGGGGCCGCTCCCGGGCGGGGCGGGGCCGGGCCGGACCCGCTGCTCCGCGGCCCCTCAGGTAACGGCGGCGGCTCCGGGGCTCGGGGTGTGCGCGGCCTCCTCCGGCCCAGGCTGGTGGGTGTGTGGGCGCTGCGTGTGGGGAATGGCGGCCTGGGCTCGGCATTCGCGTGGGCTGGGCTCCGGCGGCCGCCGAGCGGGGCCCGGGGCGCTTCTCTGTCTGTCTTGTCTGTCCGTGTGTTCGTGTGGCAGCTCCTGCCCTTGGCAGTGCGGTGGGTTCGTCCCCACGGAGCCCCTCGGGTCCCCAGAGATTTGTGGTGCCGAGCTCTGCGGAGACCCGGGTCAGGGGATGTGCTTAGGCTGTATCCGCACAAGAGCAGTATGAGAAGGCCTTGGAAAAAACCCAAACCAGCCGTCATTTATTATTTATTGAGAGCATGCAGTGAAGGAATTAGAATAAAAGAATTATAGATCATGATGAGTTCATTAGTAGTGTAAATTCAGAAGTAGAGACTTGATTTCACTTCAATCTATACATGTCCCTCCCCAGAAGGGGGATTTATGGGCTATGTCTAATTTGGCAGCTGGGATTCTGATGAACACAACATTGTGTTGTCCCTTCGTCCTTCAGGTTCAGCTGGAAGAAATCCCCCATCAGGTGGATCTGAGGTAATCTGTAGCCTTTGGGTCTGTGTTGTTTGCTGAAAGGGAAATTAGGACATTCTCTGGAATGTCAGATTGTTCTTAGCAGAACTCAAGGCCTGGATTTCAATTTTGAGAGACACACAAGTTTGGTGTAACATTTTACTGCCTGCAAGTTGCAGAATCCTATAATCACGGAGTAGGTTGAGTTGGAAGGGATCTTAAAGCTCATCTCATTCCACCCCCCTGCCATGGACAGGGACACCTTTCACCAGCCCAGGTTGTTCCAAGCCCTGTCCAACCTGGCCTCAGACAATTCCAGAGATGGGGCGGCCACAGATCTCATTCCATTGTTGCAGTGGTATTCAGATGCTTGTTATACCATAACTTCTTATATTCACTAGGATATTTATGTACTCTGAGTATTAAGATGGGTTTATTGCATATTCACTGTTTTTCAGCTGAATTTCAGAGGTGATTGAGTCCCAGAGGATTGCTGAAAAATGGGAACCTAAAGGGAACTGTAACGAAATTGATACCACCCATATGCAGGATTGGATTGAGCAATATCTGGTGTTGTGGGTAAATGATGCTGTTGAACAAGAAGTGAGAAATATTAGCATGAAATTTTAGGTCAGTTACAGACAGGGAAGTTCTGTGTGAGGGTTCTTACACGGATCTTGCTTTGAGTAATTATCTGAGTTTTAAACAAGAAATTGTTTGAGAAGAACAGGAGGAAACTGGGGCAAGGGAGCACAAGCCAATACAAAGTGAAATTATGTGTCATATTTTGTCAGATAAGGACATAATAAGGACTTAGATGAGGAATGCCTGTCATAGCTTGGAGGAGTCAAAATCCTTGAGTCTTATGATCAGAATTAGAATCACAGAATGGTTTGTGTTGGAAGGGACCTTAAATGTCATCTTGTTCCGAGCTCCTGGCATGGACAGGGACACCTTCCACCAGACCAGGTTGCTCAGAGCTCTGTCCAGCCTGGCCTTGAGCACTTCCATGGATGGGGCAACCACAGCTTCTCTGGACCTGTTCCAGGGCCTCACCCCCCTCACAGTAAATAATCTCTTCCTAAAATCTAATCTGACCCTGTCTTCTGGCAGTTTGAAGCCATTCCCCCTTGTCCTGTCATTGCATGCTTTTGTAAAATATATCTTAGAGTATATGAATACATAAGGAATATTTTAGCCACTCATTGTTAAAACCAAGTTACAACTTTGACAACTTCTGCCTCTGCTCAACAGATGCCATGTTGCCTCAGAGGAGGGGACAGATGCCTTCCAGAGCAGCCATGAGCAGTTACTGGAAAGTCCTGGGGATTTTCCTGCTCTCTGTTCCGAGCGTGCCGTGTCTCCAGGCAGCGCAGCCTGGGGTGCTGCTGGTGTCCTTTGACGGCTTTCGCTGGGATTACATCTACAGGGTGCCCACCCCCAACTTCCACCATGCCATGGAGAGCGGGGTGCACATCAGGCAGGTGACAAACGTGTTCATCACCAAGACCTACCCCAACCACTACACCCTGGTGACAGGGCTCTATGCTGAGAGCCACGGCATCGTGGCCAACGAGATGTATGACCCTGTCCTGAACGAAACCTTCTCCCTGAACAAAATGAACACCCACAACTCCAAGTTCTGGGAAGAGGCCAGTCCAATATGGGTGACAAACCAGAGGGAAGGACACAAATCTGGTGCTGCTATGTGGCCTGGAACAGATGTGAAGATACATGGAGTCTTGCCTACACATTACATGCCCTACAATGAATCTGTTCCCTTTGAAGACAGGGTAGCAAAGCTCATCGAATGGTTTACATCAGAAGAGCCCATCAACTTTGGTCTCCTGTACTGGGAACAGCCTGATGAGTCTGGACACTTTCTGGGCCCAGAGAGCCCATTGATGGGAGCAGTAATCCGTGACATTGACAGAAAGCTGGGATATCTCATTTCTGAACTGAAGAAAGCAAAGCTGTGGGATGTGATCAATGTCATAGTCACGAGTGATCACGGAATGTCACAGTCGTCCTCAGAAAGGCTCATTGAGCTTGATCAGTACGTGAGCAGAGAGCTCTATGCAGTCATCGACCATTCCCCTGCAGTTGCCATTTTGCCAAAAGAAGGTAGGAGCTACAGCAGTAACCTTCCTGAGGAGGTGCTTGAGTACCCAAACTTCACAGACTGAGTTGGTGGTAGCAGCACTGGTGGCAATAGGACATCAGCCTTGAATAAGGAGTACTTGCAGGACCCCTTTGTTCTTTTTGTGGGCTCTGCCAAAAGCCTGGGTGAACTTGCAGAAAATAAAAGGGAGCAAATCTGTTTGCTGTTGGCTAATATTCCCAAGGATCCTTTAGTCCTTGTGAGAAGTAAGATAATCTAATGGCATTATCAAGGCTGAATGGTGCTCTAGATAGATAACACCTGAATGTTACATATCTTGCCTTTCATCAAGATGCTGAAGCCATAGTGGAAGAATTATATTTCTAACTCAAACAGTAAACTGAGAACAGATGGGGATCTTTGATAAAAAGAAAGCCTCTGTTGGCTATTTGATTGGCTGCCAGCTATTGTAGTTCTGAGTTTTTTTCCCCATCACGCTGAACAGCCAGCCAGTTACATATATACCATTTTTATTAAGATAAAGGTGGGCAAGAACAGTGTTGTAATCAAAATCTGAAATCTGGTTGCAGTCACTGAAGGGTTGCTGAGGTGTCAGGTTATGTTTAGTGTCACTAATGCATCTGCTTTTCATTTTGATGGTCAAGTAGTCTAAACTACTTGGTGCAAAAGTGTAATCCTGGAAAATAACACCCCTGCCCACACAAAAAAAAGTGCTAATTTGGAAGCTGAATTTCAAGGTGACCTTCTGGAAAGGTGTTTTTTAAGAATTCTGTAACATTTGCATGAGTAATGGATATATAGTACTCTGTATTTCATGCCTAAGCAGGGAGAGTATTTTCAGAATTAAGTGACCTGTAAGTCACTTAATTAAAGCATGAACAAATGTGTCTTGTCATTTTTAATGTGAAGAATAGTCCAGATTCAAATGTGAATATGTCCAAACTGAGGTCTCTGCTGCCTGAGCAGTCAGGCCCTGTAGCTCTGTGGGGATAAAAGAGCCAAGTTTGGAAGCTTCATCCCCACAGAGGTTGTCCAAGATGTTCTCATTGGCAAATAGAGAAGCTGTAAAAGTAAACTTCAGTGCTGACACGTCCCTAATGCAGTAAAGGAGAACTTTAAGATGCGTAACTTGATTCTTCTGTCTGCTAAATGCTGAAAAGGAACAGCATCTCTGCTGCAATTAGATGACAGAACAGTAAAAAAGCCATTTCAGTGGATTTCAGGAACAGCTTGGATTTGATTTTGCCCAGAGATTCAGGTATTTATTACACTACCAATAAACAAGAATTAGTTTTGAGCACAGCTAAAATTCTTTCCTTCAGTGGTACCAGATGTGATTTTTATTATAAAACAATGAATGTCACTGTCAGTTCAGGTATGAACTAATATGTGCTTAAGTACATAACACTGATTCTTCACCTGCTATTCAATTTGTCTTTCTTAAACCAAGGGAATGGTAAAACTTAGTGAGATTGAGGAAGAGTTTGAATGCTTAAAAATGCAGGAATTTCTTTTAACTGTTTGGCTATTGCTTCCCCAAGAGATGGATTAAAGCCATTATTTAGCCATGCTGGTGCATTAGTGTGTGTGGAGAACTAGATGTTCACAAAGAAGCTGTGCCACTGCTGGTGATGCTGGCCTTTTTCTTGCATTTAATATAAATATATTAATTCAGATCATTGGGGTAAAATCAAATTTGCTGTATCTGGGGCTTCTCCTCCCTGCCAGCCCATACAGAAAGCTGGCAGAGCAAAATTCACTTTATTACTAATATAGTCCTAGAAATGCTGCATTAGAGCCCCTCTTCTTGTGGCTGTAACTGATACCTTCACTTTTGCTGTCTCATCTTGACCTTTGTTTTGTTTCTTAATTTAGTGATTTTTTGTGCCAGTTTGACATAAGAAACAATAATGTGTTTCCTTCAGAATATATAAATTAATGTGTATTCCTTCAGAATTTCTATACTGGATACTAGGAACTGAGGGGGAAAAGGAAGATGGTTTCTTTAGAAACATTGGCCACTTTCTCCCAGATTTTTGTCACTGATATCCATTGAAAACTCTATGGATACTGGAATGGCAGTCTGAAAGGGGCCTGCAGACACACAGTGCATTCAGCTGCATGTGTCACACAAATACTGACCTAAGCCAGAGAGCTGAGGATTTGGTGTGTCACAGGAGTCTGTTGTGTGCACTCCATGGCTCTCAATAGGAATCTGGCCTTCAGTGGAGGCAGGGAATGAAGAAATTTGGTCAAATGTCAATTCCTGCACTTGCTTTTTTGTTCCTGGCTGTTTGTTGTGGTTCCTCCATTCTGTGCACTGGTGTAACAGCCAGCTTGATCAACTGGTTGTGGCTCTTCAGTGGCTTTTACTGGAAAGGCAAGCTCAGAAACTGGAAGTAAGCAAATAAAGAATTGGGGGTGGGAAATGCCTATTTATTCAGTGTCAGTAGAGCTCTTGAGTGTGTGTGCTCACTGTGACTAGGGAAGGGAAAGGAGCAGGCTCTGGGAATGCAGAGGAGTAGCTCATGCTGTTGGCTGTTACTGAATAATAAAGGAAAGCAACAAACTCCTTTAAAATAGATGAAAAGTGTCACTTGTTGTCACAGCCAGCTAGGTGACAGAATTTGGCCTGAATGCAGCCATTACCTCACAAACAGGTTTAGGAGGTGTCTTCTTGCTTTCAGGCATTGCACAAAGCTAGGAAGGTTTGGTTCCTTTTCCAGGAGTCAGCTGAATGCTTCCTAACTAATTCCTGTGAGAAGCTTACATTCTGATAACTGTGAAATGAGGGATTTTTATAAAATTAGCAAGGCAGCTATTGCTTGGGAACAGGCTGTGAAGTCTGGTGCTGAGGGGGATCGTACTGTGACTGAGGCTCTGGGTTTCTCACAGGAACTCCTGTGCACACACCGTTGTCTCTTACAGTTACAATTCACTTGTGGGAAAGTACATTTTGCCCTCTTCATTCAGCTGTATTTCAATTACTGATGAGTTCAGCAAACACTGATATGTTTAATTTTTGTCTTTTGTCTTTTTTGTCTGTTTGAAGGCAAACTGGATGAAGTATATGAAGCTTTGGCCAACGCTCATCCCAACATGACTGTGTATAAAAAGGAGCAGATTCCAGATAGATTTCATTACAAACACAACCGTAAAATCCAGCCCATCTTAGCAGTGGCTGATAAAGGATGGGAAATTGTCCAGAACAAGACTGATGGTTTTCTACGTAAGTATTCTGGCTTTATAGTGTTCTGCTGTATCTTCCAAGGCAGGGACCTTATGTGGTACTTTATCTCCTAGTATCAGCAACCAATGTTCATTTTTTATTTTTTTTTAAGGCTGGGAAGGAAGACTAAAGTGTGGGAAATTTATAATTTTTTTCCCTGATGGGATGGGAAGCACCTACTGTTAGGGGAGGAGGATCTGCACTTACTGTTTCTTTAAACATGAAACTTGCTGAGATAAGATCAATCACACATGTTTTAGTGGCCCCATACTTGAGGTCTTTCAGGATGTAGCAAACCAACAAGCACTTCCTGAGAGATTAAAAAGGAAAATTGCAACTGAATGTGTTGAATAGAGAGTGAATAGGGTTGTTTTATCATGTTTTAGTTATTTACTGGAGAAGGGTTGGGTTGGAAGATACAAGAACATTTTCTGAATGTTCTCAGCTTGTCTGAATGCTACACTTGGAGTAATCTCATTCTATTGCTACAAAGAGTCTTTGGATATTGTGTTACTGCACACTGGTGATTTTCATTCGCCTTGGAGGAAAAAATGCATTCTAGGTGATTTGGAGGAATAAAACCCCCAACACTTTGAAGCTCCTCACCTTCCAGTTTTGAGATTTATTATAGGTAGCATGGAGGCAGTGAACTGTAACTTCTTGGTAACCTAAAATACAGGTGTTACATGCTCAGTTCTTGCATTTCTAATTGAGAACCTTTTGAACTTTGCTGCTGGTTGTGAACTTGAAGTGTGTTATCAGCAAGACTGAACAAGATTTTCAGTACCTGCTGAAAGCACCTTCTTGTGCCTGTGTGTTTGACATTTTCCCAGTTTTTAATGCCCCTGTCAGGAGTGGGCACTGGACATCCACCAGTGAGTTCTTCCTTGTTGAAGAGTTGATGGTGCACAAAATTGGACAAAATTTCAAAGTGTCTCCTTGGAGTCACGTGGACAGTCTGACTCTACATGTTTGGTTTTTTCTCTAAGGAATCTGGACCAGTTGCAAAGTTGGTATTTTTTCCTTGAGGAGAATCAAGGAAGTGTGGGTGTACACAGTGTGCCATTGACAATGCTGTTATTGCCATATGAGCTCACTTTTTTCCCTCCCTCTTTCTTAAACAGTGCTCTCTGTTGTGGGTTTTTAGGTATTTTCTCTTTGTAATTCTGAGATTTGGTATTTGCTAGGAGACATTTGTGCTGTCAAAACAACCCTCTCTAAGGATGCTGTGCCTTTTCTGCTTTCTGCTAATTCTAGGAAAATGTTCAATGCCTGTTCTGCAACGTGGGAATACTGACCTTTATCTATCTTTTATTTCTAGTTGGTAATCATGGATATGACAACACTGTACCAGAAATGCATCCCATTTTTTTGGCAGTTGGGCCTGCTTTCAGAAAGAATGCCACCAAGCAATTCATGAATGCTACAGACTTGTACCCCTTACTGTGCCATCTGCTGGGCATCAGCCCACTGCCCAACAATGGTTCCTTCAGTGCTGTGAAGGATATACTTGCTGAGAAAGTTCCTGGAGGCCGTGGTGCAGATTCCTACTCCACTGTGGTAGGAGTGTTCCTGGGCAGCTTGCTTGTTTTTGTTTTTACTGCCGTTTTTGTTAAGCATTTTGTCCTTGCCCAAGCAAATTCCATGCAAATCCGACACACTGAAGCTGCCCAGCCACTGCTGCAAGATTAATAACAGCTGGGATTATTTCCTCTTTGAGGCTTAAAATAAGCCTATACAAAGAAAATAAACAATGGAGGTGGATTAGCATGAAATGTGGAGTGAAAGGAGATGGGTGCTGATCCATTGCAACCAGGGATGGAGAGAGAGCAGGTTCCTGTTTCACACTGCAGCCACTTCAACTTGCAGGGCTTGAAGATATCCTGGGTAAACCTGGGAAGCTGTGTGTGTATGTAGACCTGTAGTGACAATAGACCTCAAATACCTTATTATGGCTGTTTTTAGGGAAATAACATCAACTGGGGTGCACCTCACAGACTGTTAAAGGTGATTTCATTCCTCACCCTCTTTTTTGTTCTATGAGGGGTTTTTTGAGTCTTTTTGATTTTAACAAGTCACTGAATAGTACTAAACTTCTTTGTTAGTATTTTCCTTCCCTGCCCAAGGAAGCTTTTGCACAGATCACATTACAGATAACTTGGTGGGTTAAATCCTACAGGAAAGAACATGATTATTCAGCTAGGTCATGCAGTGCTGGGTGTCTAAGTTTAGTTACATATATTTCTTCAAATTATTGTGTTAACTGCAGCCCCAAAATACAAATCTTAAGTGGTATTGCCTTTAGCAATCAGCATTGAACTGCTTGATGCTTAATGTTTTAAAAATTTATTTAAGTAAATAAAGGTTTTTACCACTTTAGATATGATTTCAGGTAAATGTAGGTCATTACTTTTTTTAATTTCCTGTGCACTGCACTAAATTTTGTAGGAGCTCCATGCAGCTGGCAGGATAAAGACATGTACAAGCACCACACCTGTATATCCAGATGGAGTCTTTTGTATTTCTGTGGTACTAAGGGAGGTGAATAAGGTAAGGAACAAGGTTGCTCAGGCTGGTTTCAGAATGTTGTCAGGCTTGTCCCTGGTCTGCTACTGGAGATTCTGAGTTTGACTTGTGACTTGTGTTTTATCTGCTCTGTCTGGGTAGGCCTTGGAATGGGATGATCAGGATTACACGTGCAGTTTAAGGGGCAGCTGTATAAATCTTAAGCCATAAATGTTCTCAAATCTGAAAAAGCACACTTTAATAATTAAAAAAAAGGTGTAACCTGGAGTTTAATTTTCCAGAGGAAAACCTCTGTCAGGGAAAAATATTAATTCTGAGTAAACAAAAGTACATATTCTCATTGTGTGTGGCAATAAATCTTCTTGCTAGTGTAGCTGTGAGGTTTTTTGTGAGCTCACTTAAATGGTGAGAATCTGCTGACTAAATTTTGTATGAAAAACGTTCTGAAGTGAGAAAAGTTGTCTATTGTCAGACTCCTCCTCCTCTCCCTGTGAGATGAGAGAATATTTCTCAGCACTTTGTTGCTGAGCACAATGCCTGAAGGAGAAAGAAACGTTCAAAATCAGTGCAGAAGTAGCAGACTGGGTGTTTTAAATTCAGTTTATGTCTGTATCCACAGCCCCCAGCAGAGGGCAAGGATGGGAACTCTTGGGCTTTGGATGTGCTCTGCCAAACCAAGGGCACGACAGTCAGTTCTGCAAGGGGAGGGCTGGGGTACAAAACTCCTTTAGCTGGGCTGAGCTCCAGACTTAATGAAGATCTGTTGTGGTTGTCTGTGATGGCAGGGACACTTGTTTAGCACCAAGCTGTTCCTGCAGACAGATGTGGACATTTCCTGAGGCCACAAATTGGGTCCAGGAAATGCTTCAGAGAGAAGGCAATGAAATAGCCCAACTTAAGGGTTGTGCTGAAAGTTCAGCTGTAATTGTAGCTTTAGGAAGGCAGGAAAAATGCAGGTCTTTTGGAAGACAGCCCTTGATATGGGGGATGTATATGAAATCCTGTGAACTCCAGCTGACTCAGTGCTGTGAACTGCCTTGCTTTCCTGCATTGCCATATTCTTAAGGAAACACTGAAGGAAAAGGTCTGTGGGGCTGATTCTTGGTGCAGCTGGCCCTTAGCTGTGCCTGAAGCTGAATTTGCTGGCACAGGTAAACCTGAGGGCTGCAGGGGCTCCAGCTGAACCACAACACCAGTAAGGTGCTCACAGCAGTTTTCAGAGACCAGGGAATCTGAGCACAAACCCCAAACCTCTGAGTTGTTGATAATCCCTTCCCTACCCACCTCCCAAAAAGTGGATGGCACACAGCAAACTGATGCACTGAGTCCACCTTTTCTTGCTTATTTGCAGCTTAAAAATGAATTATAGCACAATGGTATTGTGTGTTTAAAGGAAGATTGCAGACTTTGTTAAGGCAATAACAGTGACAATTGTCATAACACCATAACCCTCACCTCTTGCTTCTGCTTTGGAACATGTTGCTTTAGTAGAAATTCTTCTTATTGCAGTAATTTCATAGCAGTGATCATGGCAGATGTAACAATAACTGGGTTGTAATCTCAGAGCTTTTCCTTAAACCCCACTTTAATTGTGGCAAGTGTAGTTCTATCATCAGCCAAAGTGACCCTTGATTTTAAGGAGGAGGCAAAGTTTATCAGTGTTGATCAGTCATTTGGGACTTAGATTTACCTGCCCAGATATGCAGCAAGGACAGAGCAGTAGGTTTCCCTCAACAAAGGGTTTGGTAACAATAATGCCAGAATAGGCTGGGGACACAAATGTGAGAATTGTTGATGTCATTGTTCTGTATGCACTGTGAGGCCTTTCTTTGAGGAGGGCAAAATAAAACTTTGTAAAAAAATGAAGGGAATCTTGTAGCATTTGGGTATTTCAGATTAGGGTCAAACATTTCCTTTATTCTTAGGTCTATTTGCAGGCACCTCTTGGGTAGTTCCTTGTTAGGACATTTGCCCTGTTTTAAGTTGCTGGGTGTCAGTTAATGAAATTGAAAGCACAAATGATGCCACTGGAGAAAAACAGAGACTTTTTCTCTGATGTGACATTTTGTCAGACACCTTTTTGGATGGGGGGATGTGGGATTTGGTTTCTGTGTATCTGATACTTTCTGTGATGTACAAACAAGTTTATTGGAAAGAGAATTTGAGTACACTGTGTACTGCTTGTAACTTAAACTTGGAAACCAAGAATGATGCATGATGTGTTTATTACTGACCTGTGGAGCATACAGATGTCAAATGTTTTCTTTGTTTCTTCTTGTTTGGAAATGCTGAAGTTAAAATACATCTTTGCTATAATGCTGTCAAGCATGGAGTGCTGGCTTCATTGAAAACACTTCTGGAAAACAAACTTGAACTGGGGGGAGATAACTGGGGAAGAATGGTTTCAACTTGTCTGCATCCCAGATATTCCCTGGACTCTGCAAAGTGTGTGCCTTTGTTAAAAATAACTGGAAGTGTGATAGAAGTTTGGAATTTTAGGTCACACTTCTTATGTAACAGACTTCTTGTTTCCCACCTTGCTCCCATATATGGAAAAAACAGCTATGGCTTACCAATAGTGGGAATCCAGTTTCTTTTACTAAAAAAAAAATCTTCCAGACTTTCTTGGTCAAGACCTGCAGTAACACTGCTACAAGAGATGCAGTCTCAAAATAAAATAAAAAAAAATTAAAAGCAGAAAAATTAGATTCATAAAATCACTTAAGTTGGAAAAGACCTTTAAGATCATCTAGTCCAACCATTAACCCAGAACTGCCAAGTCTGTTATAAGATGAAATGTTGCACAAACTGACTTTTCACACAATCATAGAATACTTTGGGTTGGAGGGACCTTAAAGATCAGCTCATTTCAACCCCCCTGCTCCCCTGACCTCTGTCACAAGTGTGAACAGCACAGTCTTGACTGCATGTGGGAGAAGGACAAATGTGCAGTGGTTGGGTCCTGTTGTTCTGTAAAATGGAAATTTAACAGGCTTATTTCCCAGTCTCCTTCCCTTCTTAAATAATGCCATGGATGCTGTGTTGGCCATATCTGTGCTGCTGTTCAAACCTTTCATGGCATGTTTGCCCTACAGTAAAGGTGATATAGCATTTATCAGATAGTAAACTACAAAAATTGTTGCAAGCACATGAAAATTATAAATTCAATAGTGGTACCAGCCTTTCCATAATGAAATCCTTATCTGAATCCTATTAACAAACCTCTATTACTGGGTTTTTTTGCAATAAAAGATGCTACCATGCATGTTACAGCAAACATCTGTCCCTGTGGTCTGGTCCTTGGAGGTACACAAGGTTGGTTTATTTGTTTATTTTCACAGGCAGTGTGTAGGCAGGGAGTTACTAAAAGCAGTGTTTCAGAGCTGTAGTCAGGTGAAATCAGCTCAATTCTGGAATTGTTTCTGTGATGCCAATGCCCAAAAAGCACAAAACCCCAGAGGGGTTTGTTTTAGGGCTGCTGTACCCAGTGTGGAGGCAGTCAATGTAATGAAACATCTGCTTTCAGTGCTGGAAGTGTCACTAAATGTCCCCTATTCCCCTCTAAACTGCAAAGCCAGCTAAGGGTTAGGAACTTCCCTTGAATTAACCTGCCCTGTGTGACCATTGCTGAGCTGTGTCTATTTAGCAAGTCATGAAATGTTGTCACAAACTACTGTCCCTTTATCACAGCCTTGAGGAAGCACAAGCCACAGCTTTGCTGTTCTTGTTCTGAACTGGCTGCCCAGAAGGAAATCAGCCACTGGCTTTCATGAGAAATACTTCACACAAACCAGAATGAGGCAGTGGAAATGTTTTGTCATGTTTAGGGCTCTGTTGTTAAAAATAATCATCCTTAAATAAGTCAATTGCATGTCTTAAAGACAGATATTTTTTCTAGATTTTTACATGATCTGTGTGAAACTGGATGTACAAGAGCTACTGTGAAACCCTTTGTGCCAGAACAACACTCAGCACCTTTACAGACCACACCACATCTTTGAAAATGAAAATAATCAGCAACTGGAATATAGTTTATCTTACTTAACACTAAAATTTCCTCTTTAAACCCTTTCCACAGTAGCACTGTCTCATCTTCCTGCTGAAGGGAGGAGGAACAGAGGGTGACAAGGATTTCCACCAGACACAGGCACTCGCTGGTGTCACAGCAGCTCAGTGCCTGTAGCAGTTCCCATCAGAAGGGGCTGCCTTAGAGCCAGGAGGAGAAATGCATTTGGACTTTGATTTCCCAGCTGTAGCAACATTCCTGTTTCAGGTCAGAGTTCTGCCTTCCTGCTCCAGTCAGCATTTACAGCTCTGGTCACCAAAGCCTTACTGTAGCTTTGCCACCTGCCTGGGAGGGAGTGCACAGAGGAACTGAGCACATCAGCCACTCTGTGTGACAGCTGCTGGGGGCAAGGAACAGAGTGGAGAAAATACTGTCCTGATCAGTTTTAGCTTCTAGAAAAGAACCCCAAACTCACAGGTAGAGGACAGGGTGTTTGCCAGAAAGGTAAAGTCAGTCAAGCCTTTCCAAACACAGGTGATGCAAAGCATCTCCAGTAATTCTGACTGATGCTCTGAGGATCCCACTCACGATTAGCAGAATTACCAGAACCTAACAAAACTCTATCCAACACAGGAATTCAAGCATCCTCCCTTTTACAGCATATCTAAGCCTAGGTTCTAGGCATAGACACATTCCCTGCAGCACATTCCCTTTGTAGTTACTCATTAACCTGACCTCTTGGTGCATGTAATTAATTAATTTAAATATGGCAGGATGAGGAAGTGACTCTGTGTTCAGTCCAGCTACTGCTCTAGAATATCAACAGGCTAAAATCCAATACCCTGTCAGTAACAGCCCAGATTTTTCAAGGGGCCTGAGCCTTTTTCAATTAATCTGAATTCTTTCAAGTTCAGATTAATTCAGAGTAAAGCATTAGTAAGTAATAATTAGTAGTTATAAAAAAAAAAAAAGCACAAGTGGTTAGGTTTTGGATTGTGTTTTTAATCAAGTACAATGGAATCCCTAGAGAGGAAGACACACATTACTAAAACTTCCACACATTTGTAGAACTCAAGTTTATTTTTTCCAGTGGGCAGTTCATAGTAACCCCTTCCCTCCAAAGTTCCTGCTCCCTCCCTGTTGGATCAGTAAAAGGCTGTGGCCAACACCAAACTGCAATGAATATGAGGCTGTGAAAGAGAAACCCCATTGCTACCAGGTATCTCTGCCACTTTATTTTTTAAAGCCATCAGACTTGTAGAAGGACCTGATAACTGTAGTTCTCTTTCTGGGTTAGCAATAACAACTTTATCTCACTGAAAGATAAGGTACCATTTAAGGCTTTCTCAACCAAACTATTTTTTTATAGCAAGTTACTAGATGACCATTAACAAAGAATCAAGAGTTTCAATTAAGAGAACAATTAGCTCTGGTCTTCAGCAAGAATTTGCATCTATGTACCTCAAGCATTGTAGAGAATTTATTTTTAAATTAAGATCTGCTAACTTCCTCCTTTTAATTTCCTGGGTTTAAAATATAAATTTGAAATCCTTGCCTGGTGACATGGACATCAAACTTTCAGTTGTTTCTTTTTGGCACAACAGCCTTCAAGAGACAATTATGAGCTGGTACACAGGGCAGAACCACCTTTATCTTAGGATGACCTTCAGCAGAATTTACTCCTGAGAAGTTTTTGATAGGGTTCAGGAGCAGTGATTTAACTACAGCTGATGAAACTGGGAAATTCAAAGGCTCCCAGGTAAAACTGACTTTCTTGATATAAGGCAGTAGTGCCATCCCAGCTGGACCTGTGGATCTAAGTCATCCAGAGACAGATATCCAGAAATGCCAGAACCGTGTGTCCAGGCTTGTAAGTGCTGAACCACATAGTTTATTGCTCAAATACAAGAGATATGCACCAGTTCTTTAATCACTGACTTCTTTTTTCTTTCTCAAAAATTTCTTGTCACATTGCTGACTTAGGGTAGAAACAGAAGTCGTGGATCTTCCCTTTCCCCAAATTTAAGGGCACACCAGAATATACTCTCTAAACAATACTAACTCCTAACTCTCAATAAAGTTTTTCTTTCCAACACAGCTGCAAGAATAATAAAAGTAGTCAATATTAATTTAATACAAAAAAGCAATTATCATTTACAAATATTAAAATTCACTTTGTCTATTCTGGCTAGTCACACTCTGGAGTCTCCTTCTGAAAGCATTCAGAGGCTTGAATGAAAAACTAAGCATCCTTATTTTGTTAAGCATCTCTTCCAGTAAAAAGCCACCTGTTCACCATTTGGTTATGAAAATATTTTTATATTACATTAGTCACATAAATCAGCAGGGCCTGGCTGTACAGTATTTTACACAGATAAAGTGCATAAACAAAGAATGCCATCCAGTGCAAACTGAAACCGTTCTCCTGAAACGCCAAGGCAGGAAGCGAGGCGAGGCTCCCTGCGCTATCCAATCAAAGGATCATCGTCATCGCTCTGCAGCTGGAGCCGGGCGAAGGGCCGCGAGGGAGCCACTCTGTTCTTGGAGATGATGATGATGCAGGTGAAGGTGCTCAGCACCATGAACACCCCGATGACGATGCCAATGGCCTCAGGCACGCTGATGCACCACTGGTCGGCCAGCAGGCACTTGCTGTTGGCCAAGGTGCCGTTGTGGGCCCGCGGGGCCAGCCCCAGCACGTGGCACATCATGGGGTAGATGTCCACGTTGGCCAGGCTGCCGTGGCTGGAGCCGCGCCGGAAGGCTGGGCCGCGCGCCGCCAGGAACGGGTGCATGCTGGGCAGGGCGTTGTCGTAGCCGTGGTCACCCACTGCAGCGGGGCAGAGCACGCGGTCACTGTCACAGCCTCTGCTGCACGGCCACCGCTCCCCTCCCCAGCTCCCCCAAAGCACGCGTGCTCACCAAAGGTCAATGCACAACATAAAAGCAGCTTTGGATCAAC